GGTAGAATGTAGAATAGGATAGGCCAAGTAATTAAATTCATTTAGCTGCTTTACTTCTTTTCAGTCTCCCCATATTTGTTTTTATTACAGAAGTATGTTTTTGGCCTAGTTGAGACCTGACTCCCCTGTAAAACAAAGAAAATCTCACCCCATGTATTTTATAATCAAATTAACTCAAAAGAATCAGATGCTGATTTTATTAGCCATTCTTGAGGCTCTTAACAACTTCAGCAGCAGAAAGGTAATATCCACAAAACTGATCACAACTAGTGTGCAGACATTTATAAGGGCCAGCTGGCAAAAGAAATGCATCACCCTATAAAAACCATGTTCCTGTCACAGAGAAGTTGAATTATTACAACAGAAAATAAACTTAATCTAAAATTTCTGTCTTACATAGGTGACCCCATGGGGCTTTGCTTCCTTCCCTCCCCCCATCACCCTTCCTGCTGCCTCCAGAGTAACCCAGGGACACTGGGGACAGGCAGGGCAGATTTGCTAGGCAGGGGGAGAGGAAAGCTGGAGTGGTGTTAGCACCCAACAGTAAACATATCACATAGTGAGAGCACAGTCACGCAGCTGGACTGTCTTGGCTCTCCCTCCTACCTGATTTCATTAGGGTTGTGCCTGTCCCAAAACCTTCTGTGTGGTTAACACCATTGGCCAGCCCTGCAGGTGACCAAGTGAGCACGCAAGGCTGGTAGACACTCATAAAGTCTCTGCACTAGTGACACTAATAAAAAGAAATGCATAAGGAAGGCATACAGCAAAAGCATGACTTCAAAATAATCGCTGATCTGGATGAGTAGAGAAAACAGCTATGCATGGCACAGGCTGGGCCCTGGAAGTGATGAAACAAGACAAATGTTTATGTGGAAAGACAGACTAGTCTGGATTGTTGAGAGAACAGGAAAATCAGGAGGCAAAACTATAAGCATTCCCACTACTTTATCAGGCAAAACTTGTCAAAAAGAGCATTTGTTTTGCATACATTAGAATGCCTTTCCTGTGCCCTAAACTGAGGCTGGGCAATTCTGGTCACATTGTGGACCTTGGTCTTCTCCATCTCACAGCAGAGAGTAGCTCAAGGAGGCAGCCAAGCCCAGTCCTCAGCCTACATGTGGTGAGATACCAAGAACAAGCACCTGAAATCTCTTTGCCAGTCATTCTCCAAGCTCGGAGAGCTTCTAGGTTTGTTTTGTGTGCAGGAAGATTTCATTCACAGATCCTTGCAACAGATGCAGATTTTGCTGACCTGAGCAATAAATGCCAGAAGCCTTCCTTGCTCATTCAACAGTCATGCCAGAACTTCTTCATGGCCCAAGTCCCACAGAGTAAGCAGACATTAGGCAGCCAATTAAAAACTGGGCCAAATGCCCTGCAAAAGCAATCTTCTCAAACTGAGCAGCAAGCACTTATCAGTGTCTTCCATGTTGAATTATAAAATACATTACCATTCTCACGCCTCATCACAAACCCACTGTCACACGTGCCCATCCTTCAGCAACTGTTTTCATCTTTCTTCTCTTACTCAACCAAATTTATTCACACACGCCACATTTTTTGTCACATTTTTTGCTCCTCTAAATTCTTCCTCCAGTTTGTCTTTCCTAACTTTCTTTCTCTTCCTAGCTATATAGAGAGAACCAATCTCAATTTTCAGAGTGACAAAAAGATTTTCCATTAGAGACAAAGCAAATAAAAAAGCACTGACCTGATATTTTCTAAAATTCATTTTCTTTTCCATACTGTTACAACAGGTATATACTCTCTTAAATACAAAATCTAGTAGATTAAGAGTTGCACAACAAGTAGAATAATTTTTTTTTTTTTTTTAAATAACCTTTAACCAGATGCCCACAGCTTATCAATATCAACACTGTCATATCCACTGTAAATCCAGTAATCTCATTCTCCCAGCCTTGCTGCCTGGTATTTCTTTCCACAACTTAGCGTGTCTTTAATTAGATCACATAATTCTTAGAGCAGCAACTTTGTGTTTTCACTTTTACAGGAAATTACTTAGCTCCTTGGAGGGCTGACTAAATGACAAACACAGCAATAACAAACTACTGATCCTCTTCAACAGGAATTGCAGAGAAGCTCTGTTGACTCAAAGACACAAAAGTGAAAGTACATAACTGATTTGAAAGGAAACAAACTCTTCTATGGAGGAAATACTGATGAAAACCATTCTTTCCTCAAATAATTTTAAAATTTAGGATCAAACAAATCCTAATAATTGTCAACTTTGCTGTTGTTGGGAAGAAAGGTCTGTCAGAGGATGTAGGCAAAAGAAAGAAGTGGAAAGAGCTGGCTTTATCAGATGAACGGAAGGGGAGGAGAGGATCTGAAAACTGGGCTCTTGATAGAAGTTTGCTTTAACTTAGGCCTTTTCATCCTCTAAACCTGAAATCAACAGATTTACCCTTCTGATTGTAGTTTCACCATCTATTGGTGAATTTAACTCATAGTAAATTGAATGTCATCTATCCAGTGACTCTGAAAGGGATTAATCTCTGGACTAAGACACTTGCACTTTGAGGTCTGGTCTATACAAAGGGGATTCCTGTGTGCCAGAGTCTTCCCATTCTGGTCAGTAGACATCAGTGCAGTCTATACAGTGTAGAGCAATTCAGGTAACCCTAAATTATGCTAGATCTAAACACTGTTTGGGGCTTGCTCGCTCTAAATTGTACTTCTGTTAATTCTGAGAGCTTCTAAATTCAAGTGTCCACACATACACATTTATTGCCACCTAGAAAAACCATAGGATATCCCTCTGAGCTCCCAGCTGCTGGCCTGGAAAGATATAGGTTCCATGCCAAATCTGCCCATCTACAGGGTGTCCTGGATTCCCCAGGGTGTCTCAAGTGGCATGAGACTCTTGAGTTGAAACAGCTACCTCAGCCCCTAGGGAGACACCTAGATTTAAGAGATAGTTACCTTTTTATTTTAAAACATTGCAGCTAATTTTGGTTCCAAATCTTTTTTACTGGTAACTGAAAGGTGAGGAGTGGGCCTTTTTCTGTCTGACAGTGCATCAGCGGACTGCTAGAATAATCTGGTACTGGGGGGGTAGGACTCAGACCGCTGCTGCCAAGCACACATATTACCTTGATTTGAATGGGATTTTGGCATCAGAAAGAAGAGCTTTTCTGTTTGCCAGGAAAGCACTAATAATATAACTATGGAATAAGATATTTACAAATGGCCCCTCCTGTAAAGGAGAAAACACCAGAGAGTTTAACAGACTGCATACGCAAAGTGGCTTGTACCACAGTTTATGGACACCAGTGAAAATGTGCATATTTTAAGGGAAAGCTCTGTGTGTGGTGAGTGCCTCTTGTGTTTGTGGTTTTGTGGTAGCAAAATAATAAAACCACTGGAATTGGCCTTTCTCCAAGTAGCAGGGTAAACCAATGCTGTTTTAAAGGCAGTCTGTTACAACATGAGTAGGACCTACCAATTCCTGATGTTGACTTTTTTAGAAATTTGCTCACTTTTTTTCTGGAACTGGTACCACATCAGAATATTTTCTAATTCACTTTCCAGTGCAAGTGAACCAGAAAACCAAGGCACTAGGCATCACTGAAGACATACTTAAAACTCAGACAAAACAGAATATATCACTTACCTGGTATAATATGACTTCATGATAAAGGACTCTCATGGGGCCTGGATAGATATTCACTATACTGCATGTTCTTTATGAGTTTTGAGCATGTAGTGCACCAGGAAAAGGTCCAATTTAAACTGACCCTCAACATGCAGTTCTTTAAGAGAAACACTTCACATAGGTTTTAAATCTTGATCAATCTTTAAATTAAACAGTACAAAAATTAAAAAGGAAAATATGGTATACTTAGGCTAGGAACCACCTAACCCCTACATCACTCAAGCATCGAAATATCAGGTATTCAGTCTAAGCTACTTGCCTAGGCTCCATTTACAGGGAGTGGTAAGAGGTAATTGGGTAATAAGTACCTGCAAGTGAGTAATTCAACACACCTATTTTAAACACATAACTTAGGATAAAATGAAGTAGTTTTTTAGGTGCCCCTTTCTCCACTGACTTAAGGGGAAGACTAGAATACTGCTGTAGAAGACCTGCCTAACTTTTAAATGGTTACATGATATGTAATGAATCCTTTCTTTATATGCTAAATATAGGATATATATAAAAGACAAAAAAGAAGAGAAGAGATAAGAGAAAAAGATCAGACTGATCAATCTTGTATATCTGTCTGCAAACAAGGCTAAATGCTAATGAAATAAATGTGGGGTTGGTTGTTACTGGATTACAAAAAAGGAAAGATAAATTTTCTTATAAGCAATGTTTATATTGTGAAGATAGATCATAAATCCAAAATAGCATTGATGTTGGATATTTAGTAGTGTAACTGAGATCATAAGGTGCTCCTCTGTAGTTTAAATAGACCTAATATGGTGTGCAACATTTTTTTCCAGTTTCTATTCAAAGCTGAACTTCACCCATAGTAAATTAGAACTCTCTGGCAACCCGCCCATAGCCTTTAAACTTTTCTGGTTGATGATCTTAATACACAAAGGGTCTTTATCAGTAAATTATGTCTGGATGGAAATCAAACTCTGACTCCTACTCCTTCTCCATGCCACAACATTTTTGTAAAGCTGAACAAACATATTAAACAGAACCCAGGGCTTTGAAGTGTAAACAACAACACACTATAGTTACACAAAACAGTCCAAAAATAAGACACTTATAGCCAAATTTTTTCTGCAGTATGCAATATCCAAACAATGCAATATCTTTACCTGAAGAGATACTGCAAAACTGTAATCTGTATTTAAGCGGTGTCTGAAATAGATTATCATTCTTGTTTCATTTTTTTCCCCCTATGCATTCATGAATAAAAATTAAAAGGAACTGTAAGCCTGACAGTCTAATTTCAGAGACTTCCTGTGACAACTGTTAAAAGATCATCAACACATAGGCAGATCTGAAGAAATTAGGTTACCTGAAAAGGCTTTTGTTATCTGGCATAATCCCTCTTTTCTGCAAAGGAAATGCTGGATTTCTGGAAGTAGGTTTACCTGTATGTAAAAAGAGAAGTTTTAATGATTTCATTCAGAAAAGTGCTCTTTTTCCTGGAGCCTTCAATGAGTTTGTGTTTGACTTATCAGAAACACCTCGTGCAAAACTCCTGACAGTGTCAAAAGGGAATTACAACTTTGCCACCCCTGCGAGGTGGGATAATGAAGTTAAAGCATGGGCTCTTCCTCCATAGCCCTCACAAACCAGAATTTTAGACTTACAGCTCTCCTTCTGGCTGCTGAGTTTTCACCCCTTCCCTGCCCCCTTTTCAGTTTCTGCAGCTTCTCTGTTCTCTGCCAGTTATCAATCCCTGTCTCTCCCTGCATGGAAACAGCTTGTGCCTCTTGAATTGCTGTGCTTGGAAACAGTGGTAAGCAAACGTAGCTAAACCACATCCAGGCTCTTGCAACAAAGAACGGCGTTGCACCGTGGTATGGACGTGCCAGCAGCAAGTAATGTTAGTCCAATATTTAAAGTTATCTGGAGATATGAACCATCTGGTTTAAGTCCCTGCTGTGCTGCAGACTTCCTGAGGGAACTTGGACAGTTCCTTTGATCACCTTATGTCTCAGTTATTCATGTGTGAAACTTCTGGACATTGCAGTGTGCTGTAAGGATTATTATATTGCACAGTATTAGAGGTTCAGATATGATATTATGGGTAGAATGAGCAAAAAGCAGTTTGCAGAAGCCTGGAGTGTTTTATGATCTGAGACCTGAATCCAAAGCATGTATACTTCTAGCAAACTGGAGCTGCTATAAAAACTTTGGATACACTTACATAAAGCATCCTGTCCCAGGGAACCCCAGTGTACCTGTTCCTAGTTCTGACTTCTGTGGACACACAGTGGTTTTTTGCATCCTTGTGAACTTCAAACCTCAACCAAATACCTTTTAAAAGCAGCTCTATTTCTCCCAGTCCCTCAGGTCAGAGTGCATACCTTTGGGTCTTGCCACTATTATCTGTTCCTTTGTACTTGAAATATAAGCCAAGTTTTATCTACAATTTGGTCATATTTTTTCAAACAAAGCTCTCAGTTTAAGTCACTTACATATTTTCACCAACAGGTCAGGCACTTATTTAGATATTTACCTATCTAAGTAACCTGAACTCTGCCCACAACACCCTCAAGTGAAAAACAAAATAAAAGCAATCCTGAAAATACCAAGAAATATTGACATCACTGATGCTTTGGACTGTGGGTAAGCACACTGCAGTGCCAGAGCAAGGAACTCCCATGAAGGCCCTGGAGGAGGACACTGGTCCAGCTCGCACTTTATCATTTGTAGGATCACTGTCATTGTTTGGAGAGGTGCCTAAATTATGTTTACAAAGGAGTAATTATATTAGATTAAACTAGCCCTGTCCTCTCATTCCCACAAAGGATAACTTGTTAATCTCATACCTTTTGGAATAATTCTAGATGATGCAATTCATCTATTTGAATGCAGCCAGGACCATCATTTTTTCTGGAAGATAAGCAGATCAAAACATCCCAAGGGCTTATACCACCTATCAGGAAAGAAAAAAAGGTGTATTGAGAAAGAAAATTTGATGCCATTCCTATTTGAACAGAAAAATACTTAGAGCTGAACCCCAAGGAATAACAAACTGTTGGAGCAATAAGTGCATTAACAGCCACAGGTGGCAGAAGAGAAAAAGACATATTCAGTACCACAGTTTAAGCTTTGGAACTACATTTATGTATCTCACAGTTGACACCTCCTGTTATACCTGCCTACTGATGTCCAGTCCCCTTGTGTCTGATCTGTTTAGCATTCAGAAATGAAAAAGTTTAATAACATAGTGCTGCTTTAATTCGTTCTTTCTTCCTGAACTCCCCAGCATTCACACATAAGACACATCCACAATAGGCAGTGCGATCTTCTGAGATCTTTCATTAGTAAGAAGTAAATTATATGTGAAGTAACACTGAGCATGCTATTGCAAACAGTAGGAAATTTTAGCCTGAATTTTGGTGTAATAGCTTCCTAAATATTAGACACCAGATTGCTCCTACCTAGAACTTGTGTACAAGTGGGAATTAAGTTGCACTGACCAAGTAGCTAGCTGCTGAGATGGCTCTGATGCTTCTTTTCTGGGGTGAAGCTGCCCTGTGAGACCATGGGGCTCTATTATCAGGAAACAGGCAATACTGGAGTCAGAGATGGTGGCTTGAAGAAGAGACAAAACTAAATTACATCAATTAAAACACTATTATGGATTAGATCATACAAATAGGTCTCGGAGTTTGCCCATATTGCAGTGTGTAATGTGGTGTAGGAATGCCAGTGTAGTTTCAAATGATCTTGGTCAGCTGCCTGAAGTGGTTATTTTTCTTCTGTATACAGCCTTTGTAATCTGAACTAGTTAGGGATGATGGCATCTCTCAAAAGATTAACAGAATCACTACATCTGTTGAGGACATCATGAATACGTTCAATAAAGGGTAAACTATTTCAGTAACAGGTTGACAATTACAAATAAAGAACTTCCAAACAGAAAGGGCAGCCAGAGAAGCTGTACTGCAGCCAAGGCAGGGTATAGCATTAGGCCAAAGCTCTCTGCAGGACAGCTATTCCAGTGACTGGTTGGTTGGTTCTGTTTCCCAAGGCTGGAAAGATTATATAAATTTTATTTCATTTTGTGATACTCACCTGTGATACCTTCCTAATTTTATTAGTTTACTTCCTAAATTTGGTCCCACTGAGAGCTCACAATGATATTTATTTTGGCTGAGTTCCCTCTTCAAAATGTAATTTTTTCCTGTCCCATCACAAATGCCAAGCAGGGTGAAGGTTTTGCTTAAGGAGAATTAACACTCAATTTATGTTGAGCACACTAATGAACGGATTGTGCAGAATGGGTCCAGGACTATGAAAGTAACTATCAGGTTTTTAATGTCTATAAGCAGTGCAACAAAGCTGAAGCTGAATTTTCAGTTATGCTGCATTCATTACTATAAAGAATCCTTCAATTTCACATTAAGTGAACTACTATTATGGTATAAAAATAATTAAGGTATGTGAAATTTAGGCAAGACAGATTCACTACATGCTCCTTTGTAAAAGGAACAAACAAAAAGCTTCAGGTAGATAAAAATGACATAGATAGTAAATAAATGAAACCTTAAAGAACATACAAGCAAATACTTCATTTTAGTGCAAAAGATTGACAGTGTTAACAACCTACTTGGTGACCTCACCAGCTATGTAATTATCAGCTAAGCAAGATATGTTATGCTTTTGACTATTAAACACCTTTCAATAAATCATTATAATTACATATAAAGCACAATGCCTAGCTGTGTGCAAGCTGAAAGGGAGCTGGAGGGAACTCCATTTCTCAGAAGCAGTTAATTTCCTTCCCTTGTTTATTGCTACATATCCTGGCCAGGGATGAATTTGATCACTGATTCCAAAGGATATGCTGCACTGTGTATCATTTGCCTTTAGGACACAGTAGAGTGATGGATATGAATGTACCAAAGAGAAGAAAAGGAAAAAGAGCCCTCAGACATAGCATATTTCTGAGCCAGTGCCCAGGAAGTAGAACAGTTAACTGCTAGGAACAATTTTTCAGGAGGGGTTGAATGCCAGCCATTATTTGTGTTTTCTATTTAGAGTAATTAGACATGTAGCCAGTTATTTCAGTACAGAACAATCAGAACTGAAACATGTCTATTTATAGAAAACAGGAGACTTCCTATTAGAAAAAAACAGCATACACCTAGTGCTGCCTCTCAGATTCAGGTTGACAGAGCAGTGTGACTTCTATTTAAATATATCATTACATTCCTCAACAACTACACCTGAAAAAATGTTATTGGAAAACAAAAATGAAAGAGGCATATGTTACAACAGTCATTCAGTTTAGGAACAGACTCTTCTGTGAACAGATATAGCCTAGAAACAGCCCATGTCATTCCTCTCACAGCTTAACTTTTTGTGGAAAATGAACATCTGTGATCATGAGACCATGAGTCTGTCTCTTTTCTGCAAATGCAATAATTATAAAACTATATCTCAGTGCGAAATGTTATTAATATTCCAGTAACATCACATGGTCCAGGCAAAGGATCCCAAGATGTCAGGCACTGTATTTTAACACAGAAGATCTCTTTCACAGAAATTATGTTTAAAGTAAAGCAAGATACAACATGTAAGCTAAAACAGTCTACAATAAAAGAGAAAGGAAGAACAAAAATGACAGTAATAGCACAAGATATCTGCACAGAAAAACTTGTGTTTCAAAATGGTTTTAGAGATGCTTAATTAAGAAATGTTAATAATGTTCATACTATTCTATCTTCAATGTACACAGCTTAACATGGATACAGTTCATGCTGGCAGCATGATGCTTTTGTTCATCTGTCTTTTAGGCCAGCTCTTTTCCCCTCCTTTCCTCCAGTCTTTGTAGCCCCGTCTTGCAGTCCCATCTTAAAAGTGTTTGTGTTCCTGAGATTTGATTCTCATATTTACCTGAGGATATCAACTCAAATTGCTAATCCAAGAACCAGTAGTACAGCATGCTTTGATTCCAATCCGCTGTGACCATTTTTGGTTACTCTCATTCTGAAGGAGTCAAAGTACGTGCTATACATTGAGAGGGCAATAAATTTCAACTGAAAATTGATACAATGTACAAATTATAATTTTCAACAAGTTATCACTGTTTTCATTGGCTTTGACTCTGACTTGTTACTTGGAATAATTAAAATAGTTAATGTGGAAAAATAATCTAAAAGATAATCTAGGGAGAAAAACAAACATTTTTTAACAGCTGTGGAAATAGCAATGCAGAAACCAATAAAAGCATTTAACTCTTTCTATAAAAATATTCTGCAGAGCGTTTTTGTATTCTGATATTATAGATTAAAGTGAACAGAAACAAAATGAGAACTGTAGGATTTAGTGGGGTTTTAAACTCATAGTATATACATTTTATAGATGAAATTAAACAATTTCTGGAGCTTATTTCTAAAATGAAATAATCTTATTCCTATCAAAATTTTCATGTTCCCTCCTTGAGCTATGGCATTGGAGGCTGGATTTTGCAGAAAAACTGTTATATGCATGCAGCTCCATGGAGTTTTTAGTCTATTATGTGTATACATAGAAAAATATTATTTGATTTAACCAAATGAGTAAGTTTCATCTCAATACCATAGCTTGAAATTTCATTTGTCAGTGTTAAGATCCTCCTTCTGAAATTTGAAATGAAAGAACTTTGAAAATCAAATACAATTTTTATCTTTTATGCTTATCTTTCTGTACTTCATTCATTGTGGGAAATGAAAAGGCTGGTCAGCTTTATTATTATTTTAACCACTAGTCAGTTTGCAATTTTGCACTCGCTCACACCACTACCCTAAAAATATTCAATTTACAAGCACTAGAGGATAAGAAGATGACAAGAAACAGACAGCATTTGTTTGGCAAGAACACATCATATAAAACTAGTCTAATTTATTCTGACAGAGTAACTGATTTAGTGAACAAAGGAAATAGTAGCGATGAAACAGTTTGACTTTAGTAAGTTTTTAGACACCATTTCCACATAAGATACCTATCAGGTGAGTGCACATCTCTTTCAAAAGATTAACTCTACACTATCAAAGTGGAATTTTTCTGTAGCAGAAACTCAAAGCATACCCCACTGTACATTCAGTGCTGTTCAAATTTCTCATTAACAAACTGAATGATGGAACAGCAAATGCATGTACAAATACTATATGGCACCAAGTTGAGGGGAAGTTTAAGCACTTTGGAAGACGTGATCAGAAGTCAAAATAATTTTGATATACGGTCCAAATTCAACCTGAGGAAATTCAAAACAAGTTCAAAGTGTCATAATTCGTAATAAGAAATCAGATGGAGAGATACAATTGGCCAGAAAGTACTACTGCAGAAAAGATTCAGACCAGATTCATAAACTGTGTCTGAACTAACAATATAATACTGTTGCAAAAAAATTTCCCCAAATAACTTTTAAGTTGTTGGCAAAGATTTACTGGGACTGAAGGATCTGACTTCCCTCCTTTAGAAACAGTCTGAATTTATTCCATGTCACAAAGACTTCTAAGTAACAGGGACTATTTCATTATAATCATAGCCCTGCAGACATTAAGAATTGCAGCCAAACCTGTTTATGAGTGTTACATACATGGAACAGGGGGTAATCCTTCTTCTGCTGTTGGTATTGGTCATACCACATCAGTAACACTGTTTCCCAGTTTTGGAAAACATGGTTTGAGTAGAAGGTTACAAAAGGAAGTGGGATTTAGAAGACTTTGTACTGTGTCTGACTGGGATGGAGTTAATCCTCTTCCTAGTAGCCTGCACAGTGCTATCTTTTTGATTTGTGACCAAACCAGTGTTGATAATGCACCAATGTTTTAGCTGTTGCTGAGCAGTGCTTGCACAGTGTCAGCACCTTCTCCGTGTCTCACTCTGGCGTGAAGGCTGGGGTGGGCAAGGGGTTGGGAGGGAACACAGCCAGGACAACTGATC